AATCAATAAAAGTAAACCCCTTTATTAATTCAATCTAATGAGTTTCAGTTACAAAGTGATTGATTTAACAGTCTTTTATTACAACATTAACTACTCCCTAAAAACTCCCTCTAACACTACTCCTAAATGTCATGATCGTGGGTTTTGTTAGGGGTTTGAGTTGTATTCTAACTCCTTCTTTTCCTTTTTTTAGCCACTTCTTTGAGGTTTTCTCCCTTTATTGAAGGTTAATTGGCTTTGCAACTCCCGGGCAGTTATTTCTTCTTTCAAACCAGAGCTATGGCTGGTCGCTTCCCGCATTTTCTTCAGATCTTGACACATGTCAATCCTTTAATGATTTTAGACTTGCCAACAATACATGCATCAAATGCTTTCATAATTTTGTCATATCTATTTCAATCTCTTTATCGAAGTCTTGGAAATAAGTTCCAAATGAACTCTTTTTTTTTGTTACTCTCCTCTACGCAACATTTTATATCTATTTGTCCTAGCTAAGAGTTCAAATAGGTCTCTAAACTTCATTCCCTCAAATTTCTTTCTTAATTTGAAGTTTAAGCCATTTTATGCCAATTTTACGTGAAGCAAGTAAATATGACATTTGTTTCTAACCTTTTTGAACTTATCGATGTATTGTTCTATAGATTCATTTGATTTATGTCTCAATCTGGACAAGTCTGTCATTGAGACCTCTAGTTCATTCCTAAAGAACTGAGCATGAAACTGATCTTCCATCTCTTGCCATATTTGAATTGAATTAATAGGCAAGTTAATGGACCAAGCAAAAGCAGTTCTCGTTAGTGATTGGGGGAACAATTTTCATTTTCAAAGTCTCATTGTGTCCAACTTTTCCACATTGGAAAATAAATTTTCCTACAAGTCCTATCGGGTAATGATTTTCTTCACCAAAAAATAGATGAAATTCTGAGATCTTATATCCTCTTGGGAACTTTTCTTAATCAACCTATGATGGATATAGTTTTCTGAACACAAGCCTCTATTTTTCTTAGGCCCGGAATATAAAGGTCTTGAATCATTTCCACTAGTTGGTTTCTATTGAAAACCATATTCTGGTGGCGATTGACGTGTTTGCCTTGATCAAAGGGTTCTCCACCCATCCTTGGGTTGACTTATCTATGGGTTCCAGTGGAGGCATGACATGCCTCTCACGACCTCTCCTAGGAAATTCAAGGACTATTCTTAGTCCTTTTCTCCCCTTAGGGTTCCTATCTGGGAAGACTTCCATAGGTTTTACATCAAACACCGTGTTGAAGTGATTTTGGTGTGAATGACTTGGTCTTTCGTTAGTAACTATTGGTTGTGGTTTTTGATTTTCTATAGGGAATACCACATGATCTATATTTCTTTTATCCACCACTTGGTCCTATTTTGACTTATGATTAAATGTTCCTAACACTGGTGTTAGAAAATTCATTAAGTTATGCATGACATTAACTAATTCTTGTCTAATGTAAGAATTGGGATTATGTAATGCCTATTTCAAATTCTGCACAAACTCCTGCATTTGTGCACTATCCTAGCTATTGGACTGGTCCGACACTAGATATGTTGACTCTATTGGATGTGCACTTGAACTTGTTTCATGATTGACATCAACATGCATCATTTTCACAGTTTCATTAGTCTGAAACACAATCTCATCTTGCTTCCTTGTTCACACCATTTTTCTTGATCCAAGTTCAGAATGTTGTCCCACTAAGCGTGCCAAAGGAGTGTTATTCCAAAATTTGTTGTTATCGACAGAGGAGATTCAATCGACAGACAATTTTTAGGCAATTGCTAATGATGAGACTTAATCAACAGACAGTTTTTAGGCAATTGCTAGTCATGAGTTCAATTGCCTTATTTTAGAACTTTTTTGGATGAAATTTAAAGCAATAAGCATAAAAAATCGAAAATTAATAAAAGAGAATCTATTTATTAATCCAATCAAAGGGTTTTTAGTTATAAAAAGACTAATTTAACAGTCTTGATTACAATAATAACTACTTCCTAAATCTAACCTAACATTACTCCTAAAAATGCCTAGATCGTCGGTCTTGTTGGGGTTTGAATGTATCTTTCAACTTCCCCATTTTCTACTTCTTATTGCCACTACCTTCAACGGTCTCATTTTTATCGATGGTAATCTTACTCATAACTCACAAATAGGTATTTTTCATTCAAATAAAACTGTGTTTAACCATCTCTCGCCTTTTCTCAGATTCTATCATGTAGCTAACTCTTTAATACCCCCAATTCGCCAGATATTGGTTCATCAAACAATCTCATAATTTTATATTTCATTTGATTTCAAGAAAAGGAGAATAACAAACTTGAAAAAAAAAAAAGATACAGAGCAAGAATGTAAGAGTTATTGTTAGACAAAGAGTGAAATGTCATTATATTTAAGAGAGACGGTTTTTGTTGAACAAATATACTCTTATGAGTAATTCCTATAACGACCTTATTTCGGAAAAAATTAATAAATTTGGATGGAAGGACTAAATTAAAATTTAGTTAAAACTTTAATAACATAATTGTTTAAATTAAAATTGCAATGATCAAATAAAAATTATATACTTTTGTTTTTTTGAGGGGGAAGGGAAAGAGGTAACAGGACTTGAATCCTTGATTTTAAGAAGGCAAAACCTTTACGAGACAAAGAATATCACTGGACCAAAGGTCCATTAGTAAATAAACATTATATACATACTAAGGGTATAAATTTTAAATTACGTTGTATCTAACTAAAAGCTTTCAGATGAACTCTTTTGGTGGCATTTTTCCATCCTTTGACTTAAGCATCTCCAACATTGACTCAAACTCAAACTCAAATTTGAGTTAAAAAATGACTAGAAAGCTTGAGTTATTATGGACCTCTTCAATGGACAAAACAAAATTTATACTCAAATCTTTTAAAAAAAATTCATATTGTCCCAAAAGTTCATTTCTTTAAATATTTTTCTCCAAATATCTTTCCCTCCTTTATTTTCTCTATTTCTTTTCCTCCAAAACCCTAAATACATAATATGACCACAATTCTCAGTAATATTCTTTGATTAGAATAATGTTATGTGATTAGATTATAATAATGTTCTGTCATTAGATTGGAATAATCTGATCATAATCTGTACCCAAATTCTAAATTATAAACCTCTCCAAAAAGTGTGCATTTCAATTTGCAGCCCACAAAAACAAATCATGGCAATCAGTTAGAATATATATTCAAAACCCACAGGATCTCGCATGACCTAGGGTTAGATCTTAACATATTAGTATTTGATTCAATTTTTTTTTTTTTTTTTTTTGGTAACGTGACCTCATTGAGTAGTAATTTTGACTTGAATAAATTATCAACCTTTGTTTACATGTAATTTTCATTACGATACCTCTTTCGGTACCATAGACCGTGAAATTCTATGGTTGCGTTTCATATGCTAGGGGTGCCTGTTTGTTTGAGAAGTTCAGCAAAGCCATCTACTCGGTAGACTTTGAGCATTGTCCTGAGCTTTTTTTCAAAGCCTATATGTTTAACGGCTTAAGCTTGATTGCAATACACTTCATTGAAGTCGAATCGGGCTGTAGCTAGGTTCTAACCTCACTCAAGCAGTCCTTTTTCCAAGTTTAATTCGCATCGGTTTCACCAGGCATCAATTTTGTTCATTACAGGCATCCATTATCTAGCCGAAGCAACACAGTTTTTTTTTATGTCAGGCACTATAACAAAGAAGGGAACAACAATATTCAAATCTACAACTTTAAAGTCCAACAACATGGCAGTGGTCATTACGCTAACCGCTAACCTCCAAAAAACACGAGAATTAGGTGACCCTAATCTTGCACATTATGATCCCATAACAAATTGGTAGCAGCAAGAGGTTTAACTGTAACATCAAAATCCCAATTGTTTGCTTCAGTGGTGGTCATAAACTAAAGCACCTTTGTCTAGAGTTGAACAAACATCATCAATAAGCTAGAGCAATTATGTAAGGGTTTCTCCTAAAATGAACAAATAAACACTGGCAAACCCTTCAACTAATTTCAGTGGAAAGCTGGATCAATGCCACTCATGTATCATGAGTTTTTTTTTAACCCATTTACCCTTTTATTAAATTTTTTTTCCAAAAATAAATAATTTTATTAAACCGAAAAATTAAAATATTACAATGAAGCTAAACACACCCTGTATAAGACATACTAAGTATGACCACATAGGTAATTTTACTACAATAACATTGTTTCACACTAATTTATTAAATTACAATTGTTTTTATGAAGTCGTGTCGGCGTTTTGGGCAATTTTTTATTTATTTATTGAAATTGAAAAGTTTTCTTCCGGAAAATAGCTTCATCCCCGACTTCCACCCACCTGCTAGCATTTGAACATGACTTTTTGACTGTCACCATCATGGGCAAAGCATGGTTTTAAAAATACAATCACACAGATAAAAGAATTGATTAAAAAAGATGGAAACAACAGCATTAGCGAAACGATAAAGATTATTTTATTGACACCTGTCTTGTGAAATTATTAATTAATTAATTAATGGCCAAATATTTCAAGAACAAGTCTCTAGATCGACAAGTACATTTGACTTAGACATGCATAAAACATTAAAATTTTTAAAAAGAGATACCCGTCATAGTCCACAGTGTTCCCACTTCGAAACCCTATCTTCTAGTCCGATCAAAATTCGTTGTCCGAATGAATAACATAGTCACTAACTATTTTTAAACACAATCCCATAAAAGATAAAATAAAGAGCCGACTTCAAAAAAAAGCTACAGAAAAAGATCTTATCATCTATTGACATTCTCTGTTACTCTAGCTCTGGAGAAAAAAATCCTAAATATCTTCTCCTACTATTAAATGGAGGAATGAATCCGGACGACAGAACAAATCCCCTTATTGCGCTAAAAGGGCACTTATAATATTCGGCCTAGTGACTGGAACAAAGTAGCTCCTCCACAGGGGAAAGAAGCGGCGGGGAGGGGGGCATCCACACCAAAACATATTTATTATTTCCAAATATTTAGTGCTTAAAATATCACATATCATCAACTTTTCTCTTGTATAAAAACTTAATCAAGTCAAGTGCATAAACTTTCAAACCAAAACACCGAACAAAAAGCAGGAAAGAACATGCAAGTTCTTATTTGATATCATTTGAAAATCTTGTTCAGGGCTTGTGGAAATCTGGATCTTTGACGATGGTCACAGGGCAAGCAGCATTTGCCATCACGTAGTTGGTCACGCTTCCCAAGATTATCCTGTGTCATCACCACCAACCCCCAAAACAAAACACATCCCATGTTAACTTTGAGAGAGAGAGAGAGAGAGAGAGAGAGACTACCACTATATATTGTGATTTGTGAAAGATCAGATCATGGTCGATATAGAGAAATGAAAAAAAATCAGAATAAAAGAAGTACCTTTTGATGGTGCTAAGTCCCCTGCTTCCCATGACCAATGAATCCAGCTTCAGCTCTTCAATAGCTTCACACAGCTTCTCTCTTGCGTCTCCCCAATACAGTTTCGTAACAAAGATTATCTACAAAAAACAAAAAAAAAAAACATTTATTTCTTAAAATCACTCACCCAATTACAAACAAATAATTATCGGTATGAAACTTGAAAACCCCAACATTTAAAAAAAAAAAAACAGAACATAAAACTAAATCTAAATGCCCTAACCTCTTTTTGCCTGGAAGCAGTGTCAAGCGTGTCAAGAACTTCAATATCAATCTTCACTTCGTACTTGTTCATCACTTCTGGTTCACGAAACTCCACCAGAGGAATGAGAGCTACAAAACAAAAAACTCAGATCAATTTCAGTCAGATCAGATCAAAATCATCAAGATCAGACGAAGAAAGGTTGGATCAGGATCATGGGTATGAAATGATCTATAAAAATGACGATGATAATGAATCAGGGACTTACGTGAACCAGATTTGGACCAGAGTTGATTGCGAGCCTCATCGGATGCATGAGACTTGATGTGGATGATGTAGAAGGTATCACCTTTTTCACCCAAGTTGTCAATAGCCCATTGCAGAGCCGTCTTGCTGCTCTTCGAGAAATCCATTGCCACCCCAACCTTCCTGTCTTTCCCCATTCTCTCTCTGCTCTCTCTTCTTGTTCTTGGTTGTATTAGGAACAAATTCGAACTTGGCGTATGAAACTTGAAAGCAAAATAAAATACTTAAAAAGGTGTAATCTTTAGAAATGGGTTGATGCTTTGGGATGGAAGCTCCGGTGAGAAGGCTTCCATTTTATAGATAAGACAACACTAGATAAGGGCAAGCGATGTGGGCCGGGTCGGATTTGGGTGGAGGTGGCGTTGAAGAATCTCTGAATTGAATGTTCGTTTCTTGCTTCCGGGTTAATCAAATTTTTTTCGGTTACGCCGTTCAAAATTAAAGATCAAATAAAGAGTTCAAATGATATGGAAATTACTAGTATGACAAGATTAACTATCATGTCATTTTTATTTTCTGTATGTGTTAGGGAAACAGAGAAAACAAAAAAATTTTGCACCATCTGTCCTTCATTTCTTTTCTCTGTTCGTGTTAGGGAAACGTAGAAGACGAAAAAATTTTGTCTCATTTGTCCTTGATTTAAAGGCGAAAAAATTTTGCTAACATGAAAGTTATTCTTATCATATCAACAACTGTCATGTCATTTAAACTCTTTATTTAGTCTCTAATTTTAATCAGCCTGCAATTACTGAATTCTTTCATGTGATTTCATACGCAATTATGAAATGTTATCACGTGATTGAAAATGAAGGTCAGAGTAGTTTTCAATTTCCACACTGCTTGTGCTTGTTGATTGTAATTTACATCTTGATATGCATCATCCCATCCCATCCCATCCCATTCATTGAATTTCGTCTTATTAGAATTCACACGAAATTATAATTTTGTTTTGAAATGGTTAGAATATTTTTATTTTTAAAGAGATTGAAATAAATTACTGATGAAATTAAAATTATAAAATTTTGAAGTCTTTCGTAAGTATTTCAAGGTTTTTTGGTGTACTTTGACAAATTTTTTAAAATGTTATAAAAATAAACTCTCAAATCTTTATTTGTTTCTATATGTTTCCAAAACATTTCCGTTTCTTAGATAACCGAAGCAGTGCATTAAAATAAAATTTTATTCTTTAATTAAAATGAATATTTATATATTTAACTCCAACTATACAAAATATAACATAACTAATCTATATTTAGATCTAATAGAATTAAATCTGAACTTAGATTATACTCAGATAATTTTTTTAATAGAAAAATGAAGTTACAAAATATCCACCAAAGCCATTTTTTTTTTTTTGGATTTAATCACAATATATTCCATTGTTTTTGTTTTCTTTTGTGTGGTCGAATTTGTAATGACTAGCAAAATGCCGTAATAGGATTACTATATTTGTCCAATCTAATTGTCAACGAAGAGAAATAATAATTAAGAACAGATTCATTTGACTAAAAGAGTCGAAGGTAATGTTATACACATCTAATCCAATTAGTTGATAAATAATTTCAATATATGACTGATAGAGTCGAATTCAAATTAGATACGACCATTCATGACAAGCTTAGGTAGTGTTTGATAAAACTCAAAACTGAATGTTAAATTTTAAGTGTTGAATGCTGAATTTTTTAATTTATAGACTGGTTAGTATTAACTGAAATTTAAGTGTTTAATTGAATCAAGTTGTTTGACAAATATAACGAGGTAAAATTTAAAAATTATTATTATTTTAATTTTTATCTCTTTTTTTAATCATCTCTCCGCAACTATCTTATTCTAATCACCACCATCACAATACTGGTGGTAGCGGCAACACAATGGTGGTGGTGATGGTGGTGGCGACAACACGACAGTGGTGGAGGTGGTGATGGTGGTGACGACAACACAATGGTAGTGATGATGTTGTTGGTGGTGGCATAATAGTGGTGGCATAATAGTGATGACAATGACACAATGATAGTGATGGTGACAACGACAATAATGATTTTGGTGGTGGTAATGGTAGAGGTGACAGTAACACAATGATAGTTGTGGCTGTAGCAATACAATAATGGTGGTGGCAATGGAGGTGACACAATAGTAGTGACGACGACACAATAGTGATGGTAACGTTAGTAGTGGTAATGGCACAATAGTTGTAGTGATAGTGGTGGTTGTTGTAAATATTAACGGTGGTGGTGGATGATGAGTATTGAAAAGTGAAAGAATGTAAAATGCATTGAAGATGTATTTGTCCATTACGAGGAATTTAAAAAAAATTTATTGCCTAAAATTTTCAGTATTAAACGATAAACATGTAGTTTGTTACTTAAAATTCCAATATATGTTTAAGAAGTGCTTAAAACATTAAACGGTATAAGTTTTGAGTCATTAAATATTTAAAGTATTTAATTTAATTTTAAATTTTAAGTGGTGTTATCAAGCAGGTAGAGTTGTTTCTTTCCCCTATTTTCCGTAGTTCATGAACAAAACATGAAAGGTTTTTCAGTTTATGGTTTTTTTTGTGTGTGTGTGGGGGGGGGGGGGGGGGGGGGGCTCGGGGGGTGTTGTTAAGAAGGCAGACATGAAACTTCCTCGCAGCTTCTCTACTTGTAATTGTGCATGTCCAAAGGCAAACAGCTTTAACAAAAATCCAACCTTAAATTGAATCATCCCATGCATGCATCAAAAGCTTCCGGCATGAAACCAACTTTCCAGCTGTGGAATTCTTGCTTAATATTAGAAAATGGGACCACACTACTGTACCCATAAAAAACAAATGTAGGTATCGTACCAAAAAATTAATCCTAACCATTAATCTTGTCATTGATAAAATAAAGTAAAATAATAAAATATACAACACTTCACACGTGTCGTACTTTTATTAGTAAAAAATATGAGGTACAGCAGTGAAAAATTATTTTTGAACACCGTATTTTGACCCAACTAGAAAAATGGCATTCCTATATCAAAATGGGAAGAGCTACGGTACCTCTGTGGTACGATATTGAAAGTAATAGTTTTGTAAGACTACATTATAATTTTTTTGAAGTATAAGTTATAACTTGTAAAGAGTATAAGCTATCACAAAAGATTGAGATTAATTCCAAAAGTTACAACTCATAAAAGAAAAATTATAACTTTGATCATGAACTTCTCTTGAGCAGTTGTAATTTTTTCTTTCAAATGTATAATTTTACCATAAAAAAATTATAACTTTGAATACGATATTTAAATTTTTTTTTTTAAGTACGATAGACTTTCCCTATAAAAACAATTTTTATTCTGTAATTTTTGGCTTTCACGGTCTACTTGTGAAATAAGAGTAAGAGTAATGTTATATGAATTTAAAAAGCAGATTTGATAATTACAATAATTGATTTTATTGTAGATCTTAGCCTTTATTGAGACCTACTACTACTTTAATGATTGTAATTTTCAAGTTTACTTTTTAAGTTTATTTTTTAATTTTATATAACATTACTCCTGAAATAATTATTGCTAAACAACAATGGGTTGTTCTAATACATACGTGACAGATTAAATCTCACATAAATGTAGGACATCTTGTCTCATACTCAAGTAAAAATATTCAATGGACTAGGGCAAATCGGGATTAGGTCAAACCTATTTAATCAAGGTCCTATTCTGCCACGAGGAATTGGGTCAATGACATGTGCTCCCCTCCACTTCAAAAGAGGATGTCACACGATTAAATCACACTAATTTTCTCAAATCATTTTATTAAGTGATATACCATAATAATTAAAAAGGACGGAAAAATTAATCGAGCGTTCTAAGAGACTTAAATAACTCTTGATTATTACATAATGTCAAGGATTGGGTCATAGTTCAAGGATTGGCAAATCATTGATGTTTCAAATTCAATTTGATCTGTATAATTGTTGATAGGAACATTTAACTCAACTTGTAATATGCCACGTCATAGAGTGGATGAAACCGGAAGTCTTTCTCTAACAAACATCTGCATGCTTGTGGAAATTTCTTTATGAAGACAATCAAAACAATGACCACCAAGAAGGATAGATATATATAGGTACGATTTTTCTTTGGAGCATGAGTTCTTTTCGTGTTATCAAATTTGACTTTGGAGCATTAGTTCTTTTCGTGTTCTTGATAGGTTTCTCCTCTGTTTTGCAGAAGAAGAATAATTGAATGTTGGGTTAGATTTTTTTTTTTTTTGTAACGGTCAAAAGTATTCAGATCAGTTTACGAATATTATAAGATCTCAAAATAATCTCATACACAAAGATTTAATCAAAGATCTAAGACAATAAAATAAGAAAAAAAAAAAAAAAGACGAGCGCATTGACACACCGGACTGCCTCCACTAATATAACATAAAAACTTTAACAATTTTAGTTCTAATAAAATACTTCTAAAACAACACTTTTTCTAACAAAATACTTCTAATAAAATGATAATTCTAATTGGTAAGAATCTCACATGGAGTAGGAACTCCTAAACCAACTAAAAATTATGATTATCTCACTAAATTTGGGTCAAATTCCAACAACCTTTCTTCAACCAAACTCTTTAATCATGATCATCCCCATCATTTGCTTCAGCTTCATGAACGCATGAGATTTAAGTGGCTTGATACAAATATCAATAACTTGATCCTTTGAATGATAATCCAAGATCTCAATCTCGCCGTCAATTACTAAGTCACGAATATAATGACACTTCACATGAATATGTTTGGTCCTCCCATGAAAAACTGAATTCTTTGACAAAATAATAGCCGACTTGTTATCATAGAAAATCTTTAAAAAAAATTTATGTACATGCTGTAAAAATCAAAGCATACGACATAGCCACACTACCTGTGTAGCACTACTGGTGGCTTCATTATACTCTATTTCAGTGGTAGACAAGGCAATAACTTGTTATTTCTTTGAAGACCAATAAAAAATTCTCGAACCGATTTAAAAACAATATTATGAAGTATTTTTTGCTTTTTCTACATCACCTCCTCAATCACTACTTGTATACCCTACAAGTTCACAAGAACCAACAGGAGAATAAAGAATATCATCACTATAAGTACCTTTAACATATCTCAAATTCAGTTTTGCTACTTGCAAGTGGGATTGACGTAGAAACTCCATGTATCCGTTGATAAGGCTAACTCCAAAAATAATATCAAGTCTAGTTGAAGTCAAATAACATAAACTTCCTACCAACCATTTGAAATATATGGGA